CCCACCCATGGGAGCAGCAGCGTGCGCCAGGGGGCCCACAAGAACGAAACTCCCGAGAACATGAAGAGGCTTTCGTAGTCTGGTCCCCTTCAGGCCCGCTTCAAGTCGGAGATGCTGCCGAAAAGAGCCCCCTGGTGACCCTTTTTGGTTCCAAGATTGGTTGTGATCAGGGTGAATAACGTCTTAGGATCAGTGATCCAAATCTCTTGTGAGTGGTGCAGAATCTATTTTTTGTCCGACTGAGCCAGGAAGGCAGAAAGTCCATACGTCTGTATCCTGCAGTATGTTGGCGAGCGGAAATCGTACCCCAGCTCAGACAACTTGGAGTTGATAACGCCGGACTTGTTCGCAACTCGGAAAACTCCAGTCTCAGCCTCTCAGCAAACGAAAAACACTCCAGGCTCCAGCCAGATCAATCAGTGTTGATGAAAGAAATCCTGCACCACCCCTAAAACCTGCAGCCCTGGAATTGGTAAGGTTGCCTCCTGACATGCTGCACAATAGAATCCATCCCCATATTGCAGCAACATCTCCCTGCAAATTAGCTGCCTCCTTCATCGCGGCTCACATAGGACGCACGGTTGACTGTGCTTCGGCGCGCATCACCTTGGCAGGTTGTCTGGGTATGGCGCAGTCTTCGACAAAAAGATCTCTCAGATTATACCGGCATAGACCCCAGATAGCACTTCAAGAAAAGTTGGACACCGTGGTAAGAGCGGGAGACAAGCTTGGGAGACATCCCACTCAAAGCCGGGGAAAGGATGGAAAAGGTGAACAAGACCTAAATCATCTTATAACAGCATCCGCGTCAAAGGCAGGCAAGAATATGACAAGGCGGCAGCGGCAGCCAAGAGCGAAATCATGAAGGGAGACAAGCTTGGGAGGCAAGCCGGCGGCGGCAGCCAAGAGCGAAGTTATGAAGGGAGACAAGCTTGAGAAACAAGACGGCAGTGGCAGCCAAGAGCGAAATCATGAAGGGAGACAAGCTTGAGAGACAAGGCGGCAGCGGCAGCCAAAAGCGAAATCATGAAGGGAGACAAGCTTGGGAGACAAGGCGGCAGCGGCAGCCAAGAGCGAAATCAGATACTAGCTTGGGAGACAAGCTGGCAGCGGCAGCCAAGAGCGAAGTTATGAAGGGCGACAAGTTTGGGGAGACAAGGCGGCAGCGGCAGCCAAAAGCGCAATCTTGCGAAATCATGAAGGGAGACAAGCTTGGAGACAAGGCAGTGGCAGCCAAAAGCGAAATCATGAAGGGAGACAAGCTTGGGAGACAAGCTGGCAGCGGCAGCCAAGAGCGAAATCATGAAGGGAGACAAGCTTGGGAGACCAGGCGGCAGCGGCAGCCAATTTCCGCAATCCGGAACCCATCCATTGAGAAGTAAGAACCCCTATAGCTTCCAGCTATCTGGGGAAAGATGTGTATGTGTATAATGTATATATGTATACAGTACAGTATATATGCATTTGTTTGTTTAGGGACCCTTGTGTGTATTTCGTCGACCAAATCAAAACTCCAAGCTCCAGGAATCCTTCACCACCCCCAAAACCTGAAGCCGTGCAATAGGTGAGATTTCCCTCCTACCACATGATGCAGGAGAATCCATCCTTCAACACCACATTGCAGCAACATCTCCCTGTAAATTAGCTGCCTCCTTCATCGCGGCTCACATAGGACGCACGGTTGACTGTGCTTCGGGGA